GGCTCCATCTATTAGTGGGGAGCATCACCTGCTGGAAAGTGGGTCCAGCGTCCCATTTACAGATTGCTCAAGAAACAGAACCTGAAATATGAGATTACCAGGAGCCCGCCAGCATTGATTGCCCCAGAAACCAGGGGATTGACTGTGCGGGTTACTGTGGATGGGGGGGGGGGAGACAGAATCTCCTCACCCAGGGTCTGGCGCCAGATGTCAGCTGTGGATTGCTAATTCTACCCCCCCTCTTCTGGTCCAAGACAGCAGGGCTTATCGCTTTCCAAGCAATAACTCTTTTTCTTCTTTTCTTTTTTGGCCTGCTGTCTCTCCTGCCACTGTCCTTGACCAAGTGATTTAGGACATGCTCATTCTACAACTTTTGACACTGGATTTGGATGTTTTCCCGACCGGGTGCATTCTGGGAAACCCCTACTGTCAGTATGCACGCAGGCGCTGAGTCGGTCGACGTGATCATCATGCCGGTGCCATCATCATCCCCGTAAATGACATGTAGGTGCACGTCACCTTGTCCTTATGGACTCCAAGTGTGTGCAAGCACCCCCCTTTATTCCGCCCAACACATTTCAGTCTCATTATAGCTGTACATGACCAAAACATTTCACCAAGTACAAGTCTCCAGGGGAATAAGGGAGCGTAAGGGGAGTCCCCCTACTAGTAAAATTTCCATCTGATTCTGTCAGATTTATAACCCAGAATCTTTTTTTTTTTTTTTTTTTTTTCTCTCTCTTTGTTAACAATGACATGTGTGTACCATTTAGCCACATGGACTGGCGTATAGCCACCGGTCCAGTTTCGAGCCTCTCCAGTCGTTTCCTTTCCTAATCATTTTTGTTCTTCTTTGAAACAAAATTCCTTTCTTATTTTCTTTTTTGCACTCCCCCTTTCCCCTCCCAAAAACAATTCACAATTTCCCTCGCTTTGGCACAACATTCGCGAAATTGTTTGTTTGTTTGTTTGTTTGTTTGTTTGTTTGTTTGTTTGTTTGTTTGTTTTTTTTGCAGGCCCTTATACAAGACCTCCATCCCCGTGGTGGTAAGAGAACCACCGGGATTGAGGCTTTGCCTAGCGGGCCGCTCCATCTATTAGTGGGGAGCATCACTTGCTGGAAACCGGGTCCAGCGTCCCTTGCATTTATCTTTACAGAATTATGGATCATTTTCCATGACGCCATTTTGCTGGAAAACGGGTCAAGCGTCCCTTCTCCCACGAATCAGGTTGGTTCTCGTATCATCTCCCAAAATAGTCTGTCCATATCATTTGTTTCCGTGGGCTGTGGATACTTATCTTGTCTGTCCCTGGGCTCCGTTATCCCGTGGAGCTGCTAGTGACACATATCCCATCCTGGAGCAGCCCCATTCTGCAGCCCCTGCTGAATGTTCTCTTGCCTGGCTTTTGTAAACTGACTGACTTTCAAACTTTTAGACCCTTTTAAACCATTTAAAACTCTTCATCTTCTGTACTCCTCTTCTTAAACCCCTTAAACCCTTTTAACCCTTTACCCAGTCCTCTCACCTGCTCAACCCTTTGTCTATCCTTGAGCCCTCAAAATCAGACAACGTTCAAGGTCTGACTGCCATAAAACCAAGTTACATTTTGTCACAATGTAGAATTCTGACAAGTAGGTGATTAAGAGGGGATTCTGTTCAGGCAGGTATTCTCAGATTGTGTGGAAAATCCTGAGTACCGATCCCTGTGTTTCTCCTGGCCCTTGTACCTTGAGAGACATCATGTGCTGCCGAACCCATGTGTTTCTCCTGGCCCCTGTACCTGGAGGCACATCATGTGTATGGTGCTCTTTTTCCTTCCCGGTATCTGGAGGTACTGCATTTCCTTGTCTGAAGTGCTCGTCTCCTGGCCCCCTCCGAGTTGCCGTTTCTTTCTTATTTGTCGACTATCGCACCGCTGACGCTGTATGGACCAGTTGGCCGTTGGCTGATCAAGGAACAGAGCAGTGCCGAGTTGGGGTGGATTGGGTAGGAGAGA